TTACACATGATTGTAAAAAAAATTCAATTTGTTATAATATCCGGTCTGTTACCTTTAAAAGTAACAATCTTGACATAATTTTAAAGAATAATAAAACATAAAGAAAGTGTAAATAAGTGATTTTAACACACAACAAGAAACTGATTGTAAAAATCAGGATAGAACAGTGTATTTACGACTAAGTGAAAATTTCGACATTATATACAATACCGAAAATCGATGAAGTCTGAATTGATTAAACAATTCATATATTGCTCAGACATAGTGTACAATGCAAATGATAAACCAACGAAGCATAAAATATGTATTACAGTGAAACCTGTGTATAACGATACTGTCTATAACGATAAACCTGTCTATAGCGATATTTCCTTGAGGTCCCGGTGAAATTCCTATTTACTCAATGTATTTTTAACCTGTTTATAGCGATAACCACTTTTCAGTTAAACATGTCTACAACGATAATTTTTCCTCTTTTGATAGTTGATAGTTCTATTCCGATTTTTCTACCTTTGGAAAATGTCACACCATCGATCTTAAATGTGAAGTAACAAAATGTTTTTGTTTTTTTTTCATCTCCTTTGTATGTAATATTCTTTCGTTGTTTCTGAGAAAAAAATGCCACTTTTAAGGGAAATTAGAGCAATAGAAATGGGTGAAGGGGTATTGTAGGAGGGAGAGAGCTTCGTCAGAAATGCTGATGAAACTGGCTTATTTTATCAGCTCATGCCAGATAAAACAATGGCATTTAAGGGAGAAAATTGTAAAGGTGGTAAAAAATCAAAACAGAGGTTAACTGTTCTACTTTGCGCAAACAGTACTGGAACCGATAAACTGAAGCCGTTCGTTATAGGCAAATATGCTAAACCTAGATGTTTTAAGAATGTGAAAAGTTTACCAGTTGACTACAAGGCAAACAAAAGAGCCTGGATGACAATATTTAACAACTGGCTGCTTGATGTGGATAAGGAGATGAAAAGAAATAAGAAAAAAAAATAGCTCTCTTAGTTGACAACTGCACTCCTCACAACAATCCTCCAAATATAAAATTGTTCTATTTTCCCCCAAATTGCACGTTGATTCTACAGCCATTAGATTTGGGAATAATAAAATGTTTCAAAGGATACTATCGAAAAAGATTAGTTCAGAACGTTGTTTATAATCTGGATAATAAATGCCCAAATCCTTATGCAGTTAATGTAAAAAAATGCATGCGATTGGATTTCCGGAGGGTGGAATTCATTGACAAAATCCACCATCCAAAATTGTTGGAAGAAAGCTTCTTTCTTTGAGGATAAAAGCAACGGAAACGCAGAAACTGAGCTTACTGAAATCAGTGATGAAGAAGAAAAATGTGTAGCAGGCTTAAATTCGATTGTCAGTGATTTCCAAAGATCATCTAATACATCATTTCTATTTAGATAATGATGTGTTGGTTTTCAGTGGTGCAAGTGATGAAGAGATTTTAGCAGAAGTTATCCTGGGTGATCAAAGTGATGAGGAAGAAGCAGCTGACTGTTCTCAAAACAGGACTCAAATTTCACCTGAGAATGCCATATTACTAATTAACACTTTGCAAGATTTTGTTGCAACATTACCAAATGTAACTGATGTTCATTTGAATTCATTAGATGGACTGAAATCTAGGTGCATGGAAATGGCAATTGCTTCCAAAAATAAGCAAACAAAACTAACCGATTATTTTTCTAAATAATTTCTGTTTTGATTCATAAAATTGTAAGTAAATTTTTCTTGTGTGCTGTTTCATAATTCTAAGTAAAATTTTCATTTGGAGTTTAAGTTATCATTAGTTTTAAACGTATACTTTTAAATTTCAAACCTGTCTATAACGATAACCTGCCTATAACAATATTTTATTTAGGTCCCTACAGTATCGTTATAGACAGGTTTTACTGTATTTAGTATGGCTGAGATTTATTAGCATTCCTTGAAAGTAATATCATAGTGCAACAAGGATGTTAATATTTTAATTTCTTTAGTGATTAAAATGAATAACCATATATTATTTATTAAAACCTAGCAGGCATTTTAAACCATTGTCGGACTTACACTTTAACAGTATTTTCTACACTGATGTTTTTTAAGGCAATTTCAAAAAAATTATCTCCTTGAAAGCTGATTTACTAACTTAAAAAGTAGTAATTTCATTAAAACTTTTATTCGGTAACAGACCTGAGAAATTTTAGTTTCATGAAGACTTACTGGATCTCTACAAGTTTTAAATTTATTTCAATCTTGATTCAGACTATTGAAACATGCATTAAACATACAGGAATCAACATTAATCACACACAATGATCAATTTTAACCTAATTTTTTAAAACCATTTTTGCTTCAAAATCCCCCTCTAACAGCTTACAAAGTAACCATTTTTGCTTCAAAAATGCCCCAAAATCCCCCTCTAACAGCTTACGAAGTAACCATTTTTGCTTCACAAATGCCTGAAAATCCTCTCTAACAATTTACAAATTAACCATTTTTGCTTCAAAAATGCCTGAAATTCCTCCTCTAATAGTTTACAATTTAACCATTATTGACTCAAAAATGCCTCAAAATCCCCCTCTAACAATTTACAAAGTTATTAAGTATTCTCTCAATTTAACAGAGTAAAACCTTTTTTCTCACCTTTTTTTCGAATAATCTTGTCAAGGTATTATACTGTCAAATAGAGTCAGTTAAGAACAAAAAATACCGAGAAAACGAAATAAATATTTTTCATTATATCCTAAAAAGCAAGGAGAAATGAAAATTTTAAATTTAAGTTTTTAGGTTTTTAGCAATATCTATAATAGTAACGTGAAAGAAATTATTTTTAGATAATTTTCAAAAATAGCTACTATATTTGGGCCTTGTTCAATATTTCAAATATCCTGCAGCTTGCCTGCAAAAAGAAATATTTCTTGTTAAAAAAATATTGTCAAGAGTACTTACTAATCATTATCACAAAATCTCCCAATATTAATTATCTTTCATAAAAAGTTTATTTTATTTTATTTTATTTTATTTTATAACCGTCGTTGAACAACCGACCCAATTTTTGGGTTTACAACTACTAATGTTCAACTCCGTAGCCTTGTAATTCTGAACCCAATCCAGAAGACAAGGAAACCCCTGAATCAAGTGTTGAGAGAAACTTGCCTTCTTGGAGGACTTTTTGATGGAACTAACTCGCATTTGCGTTACATGGAGAGGAACACCACGAAAACCTCCCACGGTCAGCCTGATGATCCTTCTGCGGGACTCTAACTCGTGATCTTTCTGCCTTTGAGGATACTTTACGTTAGCACTGTGGTAGGTCCCTCAAAATTTTCAATACTCAAAAGCAAATAATATTATATACTAGCTATACTGAAAAAACGTTTGAAACAATATTATTTCCTTCATCTTGAGAATGCTTCAAGAAATTTCCCCTCTGTCTTTCAGAATCATTTATTAAAAGCAAATGATATTATATACAAAATGAATACTGAAGAAACGTTAGAAAACATCTCCATTAAATGCTTCTAGAAATCTCCCTTCCCTCAAAAAGCGCCTAACTAAACTAACCCGCATTTGAGTTACATGGAGAGGAAAACCACGAAAACCTCCCACGGTTCCAATGACGGCAAGGGGGACTGTAATCCATGATCCGTTTATGTGACGATATTTCACATCAGCACTGTAGTCGATGCAAGCCGAATGCGGAATTCGTATCGACCAACCATCGCTGGGTTTCGAACCCTCATTGGAAGGTGAACTTTCTATACGGCTCTTAAAAAATTTATTGTAATGCCATACCGATAATAGTTTTATACGGAATGAAATTTCCTCGTTACAGAGCGTACCACCTTTTCCAGGTAGCCAAAACAGCTTGTTTTAGTAGTTCTGCACAAAAGATTTCCTGAAGAAGGTATTCATAAAATGTGTCGATTTGCAATAAGCATTTATTTTGAATTTCAACTAAAATTTAAAATATAGTTTTAAGTACAATAATCAAGACAGATGTGACTAATCCCTTTCTGTGTTTTCAACAGTAAATTAAATATTTTTTTAAATTAAATTTATACTTTTAATGAGTTCAATAAAATTTAGGTCTCTTCGTCTTCATTTTGAAACATAAGTTTTTATTATAAACAGGAGGCGAAAAAAGAATTTCATGATTTCTGAAAATGAACCTAATATGCTTTAGAGAAAGGTTAATATTACTAAGCAATAAAAATATAGTTGCTTTTAATATTATGTTTCATGAAGTTTATAGCAAATGATCTGCAATGTGACAAAAAAAAAATAACGGTATGTTCGTTAAAAATATTTTTAAACTAAACAAGCAGAGGAAAACATTGTGTTTCTCTGATTTTTCACAAATACATTCTTTTTTACTTACTTTGTACAAAGCGCACAAAGCTTGAAATGAAAAAGGGATGACCCTGAATGACTAACTATTGATCTAATAATAGGATTTTCACGCACTAGGTCACAATCTTAATGGTTCGAAGGCCTAGCCTTAAATATACTAATTTACTTATTAATTAATGCAGATTTTAAAATCTGAACTTCTCGGAATAAATCATACTTCTAAATCATACTTTCTCGGAATAAACCTAAATTTTTTGACGGATTCCTAACCCTCAAAATATGGTGGGTCACCGCAATCTGGAGAAAATAATATGAAATAAACTAAATTTCTTTCAACGTTTTGACAACGTAAGCAATTGTTAAAAAGAACTATGATTACGTCAACCTTAAAAGTAAAATCATTTCTATAAAGTTTTTACCACATCTTAATTTATGCTGCTACTTAAGATGTGGTAAAAACTTTATAGAAATGATATTATTGACTTCTTTATTATGACTCAATGACTTCTTTATTATGAAAATATCATAATAGAACACGTCCTTGAATTTGTGAGAAAAAGTTAACTTGCTTTAAAAGATATCTCCACCTAACAATCACTCGACCTTTTTCAATATTTGAAGTAATAACTATTTTTCTTTTTCAGATTCTTTCTTACCTTTTCCTGACCTTAGCAGAAGAATTCCTGAGAGAACAGCCCCACCAGGTAAGTAATTTCTTTTCTGCTCAGAAATGATTAAACTATTAATAAAACAGACCTAACAGCAGAAACATCTTTTCTTTAATGTCAGTGTACCAATTACTGGTTGGGAAAAATTTAGATTTAATTAATTGATATTATCGTTAAGAGGTTGTGCAAAACAAAAAAACAAAGATAAAGGCAACCAATTATCATGGCGCGTGACTATTACTATAGTGGAAAAGTACTTAAAAAATTTGCTACAATAACCCTTAAAAATAAAAAAGCAACATTTGAAAAAAAAAAATTTAATGCATCATGGTGATTAAGTCCAACATACCTGTTGCTGAATCAGGCGGAGATTTACCTCAAGCTGAAAAAATATATAAAATGACCAATTTTTGGAGTTAGAGAAAAAGAGTCCAGTTTCTATCTTTGTAAAACAACCATTTTTTTTTTTGTTTTAGACGATGAATGTTCAAAAAACACACATAAGGGAATCACAACATCTAAGGGAAGCAGGGACACAGCACGGTAGAAAAACATTTTCAAAACATAATCACAACATCTATGGGAAGCAGGGACACAGAGGGATCACAATCACGACATAAGGCTAGGCTGAACTGGTGGACATCTTATCAGCGAAGGGAAAAGCAAAAACACAAGGCCACACGGGATACGGGATCCACAACGCTTATTCATCTTTTTGAAAAACACGAAAGTTCCCCTCTCAAAAAATAAAGGAAGAAACTCCACCAAACAAAACCATGGCGAAAGAAAATGCTATCACAGCCGGACAGCGAAAGCACCCACGGGTGGGTGGAAGAAAGAAAAATCCCTGTTAAGGGATCGTAGTGTTACGGGATGTAAATTTTTCGAATGCCACCTGCTCCAAAAATGGGCGGTATTTATATAATCAGGTTGAAGATTGAAGTTAAAGTACCTAAAATGCAGCAGAATCGTGGCTAAAAGGGGAACCGATGTGAATTGATGAATCGCTTAAATATAATCACAATTATGCACTAACTGTGACCATAACGGACCATCTCCCATGTGCTCACATCAAAGGCTGCCGAAGGTCAACACCGTGAAGGTCGACAGGCAGTAAGGTGTCAGAGGAGAGGGGTCAGGGGTCGGCCTAATTTTTAGGTCACAATTTTATTAGAAATTTGTGATTAAGTGACACAATGTCACATTATACCCACAGCCGGGGAAAAAAAATTTTGAAGAAGAAAAAAAAAATTTTTTTTAATTAAAACCTAAGAAGAAAAGCCAAAAATATTCGTAACCAAAAAGCCTTAAAATTAATAAATTAACAACCTGACATTCCAGTCCACCACTTCAGCCATAACAGACATTCAGATATTACATAAAAATTACATCTCAACCATTTTGACAGTAAATTGGCCTCAACTAGGAATGCTGTGCCCAAACATAGTTATAACTGTAATCACAACACACAAACATATGTACATAGCTGATCTTGAGTATTACAAATTAAAACAATCTCAATGGTTTGCTAAAAAGTGAAAAAAAAACAATCTTAATTGTTTGCTAAAAACAACAAAAACAATCTTAATTGTTTGCTAAGAGACAACCAAAAACACTAAACGACAACAACAAGAACAATCTTAATTGTTTGCTAAAAAAACTTTTGACCTACCCAATAGTCAAAACCAAATTCACTCTACACGAAGTAGACAGCAAAAATTTATCTCCATAGAAAATAAAATTACAGAGATAAAGTGTGACTCAATGAGCATATGAAAAAAAAACTCACTCAGTAAATGTGAAAAATATTTTGAGGTAAAAATTAGCTCAAATGGTTCCTTGTAAGAAGGAATGAAAAAATAAATTTGCTTTTGTTTGCTGAAAAATGATTATAAAAAAATTGAGAATTGCAAACAAACGAAAAAAAATCAGGCTACCTTTGTAGACTGATGGTATTCCGAGTTTAAACGAATGAAAAAAAAATTTGTACAGCAAAATTTTGTACAACAATTCATGAATTGAAAAAAAATTTAGAATCAATCGAATACGACTGACAATTTAGTATTCCGAGTTAAAACGACAAAAAAATTTTAGTATACATCACAAGCATACCCCAGAAATCAAAGTCATTAGTGAGATCAATAAGTGCACAAAAAAATTAACAATTTAAAGCTTAGAGAAATTTTAAAAGCTAAAAAAAACTTAAGTTAAAAGAAACACCTAGGCAAAAACATTGAACTTAACACCTGCAAAAACTAAGCTAGAAATTACACCTTAAGATATCACAGACATTTTTCTCACTAAAATTTGATCATATAAAGTATGCTGTAACCATAGACATCATAGTCGAAACACAACTATGCAAAACAAACAACACAAACAAAAACAATGCCTATAGACAAAATTCATAAACAATGATCAAAAATGCTTATCATCAATACTTATAAGCAATGATTACTTAAAATGTTCATAAATAATACCTATAAACAATACTTAAAATGAAAATTAACAAATGCACATAATATGAACATAAATATAAAAAATGCTTGATGAACATAAAAATAAAAAATTGCTTGATGAACAAATATAAAAAAATGCTTGATGAACATCAAATATAAAAAAGTGCTTGATGAACATCAAATATAAAAAAAATGCTTGCAAGCAGACATAAACAAAATTAAAATCATCAACACCACAGATACACCAAAAATTTGTATCTAAACCCAGAGCTGTAGCCGTTTACTACATTCTGAAAAAAATCCAAAAGTTATGTAATAAAACCTTATTCATTACATACGAAAAGAAAAATATATATTGTACAGGAGTAAGGATCTAAAAAATGAAAAAAAATTGGCATTCGAAAATTGTATCATCCTCAAAGTTAAATTACGTGTTTACTAATGTTTAAAAAATGTCTAAAACATGACCTAACAATTATTAGCAAAAAAATTTGTAAAAGTTAGACAGGAACCAACCCAATGAAACACGCACCTAAAAAAAGTTATAAACTAAGGAGTCACTATAAGGAGAACCCCCCTCATCATCCACTATCAAAACAAATCACAATTTGAATACCTCCTTCAATTAAAAAAATGTACAATATTAAAAAATTAAGTTACAAAAAAATTCTAAAAAAATCATTGGTATTGTATGACAACTGCTACAAGACCCCGCTGTTCCACGGATATGCGACGACCAGCATCACACGCAGCGATGCCCAAATAACACTCGTCACACACATATCAATAAGTTAATTACAAAAATTATTCTCAAAAAAATTATTTGTTAAATTATAAGGACAAGCCTTAGGGATGGTGAAATTGTTAAAATTATCAGGCATAATTGCCAAATCAGAATTAGAGATTAAGTTATTTTTACTCCTGGTAACTATGGAATTCATTTACTAAAAATTTTGCTTACTGGATATGATATCATTGAAAACTGATAATTACTGTTAAAAACACTATCAGAAAAACATTACAATAAGCATATACCTAAAACCACTTGAATAAGAATAAAGCATAAAATTTTATCCCTTACTAAAAAGATATCATGTATATGTAACTGGAACACTTTTGTGAACAGTATGAAAAACAATCTAAATATTAAACCTAAGAACAAATATTACACCAAAAATCAGGAAAAAAATTTTCTTAATCAAAGGAATAAATGATATGACTTAACAATTACTTTGACTTATAAATCCATATAAAATTTCTTGAAAAACAAGTACTAATTACTACTGACAATTAAATATTTTATGAAGTATTAGAAATTAAACATGCAGATCCTAATAAAAATTAGAACTATTAAAATTTTCAAAAACAAGACTCATTTAACCTGTGGAAAAAAAAACTAATCTACTTTTACCATAAATTTATGTGAAATACTCAAATATTCAATAAACACAATAAATTTTAACCAATGGGATAAACCCCAATTACTCATTATGACTAATGATTAGATTCAACAAATTCTCAATCACATCTTATCTTAATATAAACAATGCAGTACTGTTACTTAAAATGAAATTATTCAACAAGTGAACCTGAACTTAAACCAAAAATATTAAAACTATAATCATTCAGTTACATAATTGCTGTGAGATTTGTGTTCAACCAACATGTAACCCTTGTAAACCTTTAATAACATTGAACATCAATTTTAAATAATAAAATCAAATCCTATTATAAAGTTGTTTTATGAAGAATTAGTTATTACCTTTTCTTAAATAAAGTTGTAATTGTAATTAAAATAGTTATCTTGATCAATTTTATCACAATATCAATATCACAAAACAATTGTATGACTCAATTACAGCAAATTATAACAATCAATTATTATTTTCAATCAACTTAAAAATCATCAACTTGGTTATTATATAAAAATTTTGTAAATAACCAAAACAAGAAATCACTTATCCAAAAAAGTTTAAACTTATTAAAATTGATCATATTGTATAATTCATTTTTGTTTACTTGATTATTCAATTCAAAACTATTGAAATAAATTGTTACTTGCTGAATCCGAAATTGAAAAATTTATTAAAATTTATTTGTATTTTAAACTACCTAAGTACATTATTTAAATCATATAATACTGAAAGAAAACACAAATAATTAAGATCAAAAGGATAAAACTTCTTAGAAAAACTTCTTTGAAAAAAACGCGCTAAGAAGCAGCAGAAATTTCAGAAAAAAGTATCAATACAAAACAAATGAAATAAAATAAAAATATGACCACCGAAGCCGACGTCTTCAGGGGGTACCGGCCCCGGTAGCCATTAAAAACAAAACCATTTCTATTTGAGGGAGAAGCAAAAGCTTAAAATATCTCCCTCAGTACCCCGATGGTTTTGTATAGAGGTCCAGGAAAAACAAGATACATTCAAAAGAATAAACAAATTACGAAAAGAAAATCAATAAAAATCATCAGAAAATTAAAAACTCACAGTCACAGGTCAAGAATCAACTTCAAAAGCAAGTGGAGGAAAAGAAAACACTAAAAACTGAAAAACAACGCCCCCTATAATAATG